CTTCACTGTTTTCTTTTTGACCTACGTAACCAAAACTTTCTTTATATCCCCCCCACAAAGTTGCAGCTGCCTGTTAGTGCCGCATTCCCAGCAGCTGAAAAGCCAGTGAAGCTTGGGGTTTTCTTGGTTCATGAGAATTACTCTCTTGCCACATTCAGGCAGAATATTTTGCCGTGCTATTCTGCCTGGGTGAGTGGCCTATTTATAAACATAGCTTTTGTCATCGTTGTTATTTTTCAATGATGTTTTCCAGGAAAGGGAAAAATATCACTCGTAGTTGTTCCCTTTTGCTATGCAACACAGCCAACATGGGAGTTTGCCTGCAAAGTTCAGGTTCAAACTTATTGGAGAGTTCAAAGTTTCTTAAAACTCATCAGAAAGAGGGACCAGCTGAGGAATTTAGATCCAAGTTTATTTCTGAACCTATACAAAACTTTGGCTGTATGGTTACAGCTTGTGGCCTGTTCATTTATCATTGGTATTGATGAAGACTCTGTCATGGGCTCTCTCTTCCAGGAAATAATTTTGCTTGTTAACTGTAACTGTCATTTAGCTTCTGATTGTCTGGTAGAAGTTGGGGAGACACACTAAGAACCCTGCTGAGGACGTTGGTCACAGTAGCAAATACGAATACGGTTGGGTGTGTTTGTGGGCCACTGCACCGTTACTCTGCTCACATGACTTAGATGGGTTTCATTACCTTACTGAAAAATCGAAGTTCGTTAAACCTAATGAAAGCTTTTCTCAGGAAAGCCTTTTTCAGGGAGAGACAAAACCAAGGAAACCCTAGGGATTTTTTTATTCAGACTGAAGTAGTCTTTTCTTTTGTACTTACACATTCCTTTGGCTTCAGCGTGACTCCAGTTAAACCTGCAGAAGCTGCCTTTGCTTTGCTGCCTGCATGGCTCTGTAAAACCACCTGCTTTCCTCAAAGGGGTCACGCTGGATTCACCTCACAAAGCAGGTTGGAAGTTCCCATTTTGGAAGTTGCACTACAGTGACATCACATACATCCCCAGTCCTGTTTGCTACAGGGCACATACAACTGTCTTCTGGGCTGTCGCCTTCTCAAGGGAAATCTTTGAAACCTTTCTGGACAACTTGGCCATGGTTCACCCCCTCTCTCTGGCACATTGTAGGACTTGTCAGCTCCACGTTATGTTCTTGGGCATAGACGCTGCTTGACTTGAAAACCACAGGGGTTTCGTGTCTTCCATTTTTTTGTCCATTTCCTCTTCTTGTAACCACTGTCTTCTGCTGCACACGTGAACTAAAGGACCCTCTGAAGCTCTTGACCTGAACAAGAACTTTCTGTCTTCGGTGAGAATTTTGCTTTAGGCAGAACAGCAGGATGTGGTCTGAATTGTAGAAAAGTACATATTAACACCACCTATTGTTAATTCAGTGCCTTTCCCCGTTCTGCATCTGCCTGTTACCTCGTTCTTAGGTGCATTTCCTTTTCAGAGCAGGTTTGCTTTTAACTCCTTTGGTAAGTCAGCAGAAGGAAAGGAGACTTTGCTGGAATCCCACCTAATGATTTGTCCATTGTGGGTAAACAAACCAAGTATCAGGTTTGGGTATTTTGGTTCCTCCAAGTGGCTTTTTTTTTTTGAGTCTTACTTCCCTACCTGTTGCGTCTGCTTTAATAACTTTAACTCATAGATATACCTTGTACATTCAGCAGTTTGGTTTTTTTTTTTCCTGGAGGAAACTAGTCAATGCAAAAAAACCTCATGGGAGGAGGTCCAACCTGGGGAAGAATTTTTCAGCTGATCTTTAATGACCCTTGACATAACGTTCTTTAACTTGAGGAGGCTTGGTTCTAACTGCTTTTTTTGCAGTTTACTAGACTAGGTTATGAACAGAATGCTTAGCATGTAAGTGGTTAATGATCCTCTCCCCTCCTTTCCTTCCTTGGATCATGCAGCTGCCAGCCATTAGGAATAAGAACAGTTGCTGTCTCTCCTGTGTGCTGATCCTAGGTGCTAATACCTGAGCTAGCAAGAGGCCCAAGTCATCTAGAGAGTCCAGAGAGCAAGCAGGGTGGATGCTGTAACCCATCCCACTGCTGGCAGAAGTCATGGAAGCTTCAGTGCTTTGTGTAATTGGAGCAGTGGCTGAAACGGGCCTTTAATTTGTGTTTGGATCTTTGGCTTTTACTATAGAGGCAGCTCCTTAGAAAGCAGTGAAGATAATTATCTTCCTGTATGCTCTGCCTTGCAACTGCACCGTCTCACCTGGCAGGTTCCTAAAACTCTTATCTTGGTGGTTCAGCCTTTTCTTCTTGCTGCCGTTGTTGTCCGGTCGGTTGGAGGCTGCTGGAGCTGAGGCATCACCCTAACTGGGAGGAAAGGAGCAGCTGATGCCTAAAGACTACGGAGTGGGGAGATTTCCTTTCCTGAGAAATTTGGGGCATTTTCACTGGCAAATTTGCTATGCCAAAAGGGGTTGAATATTGGGGAATTTTTTCTTTCTTAGCATTGTTTTTGTTCTAGAGGCTGAAGTGCTGTCAACTCTTCCCGATTCTCCTTCTTGCCTTTTGGCAAACTAACTCACAAACTGAAGCTCAGTTTTCTTAAATGTATTACTGACTGTGGTATGTGGAGAGCTGTGTTCTCAGCTGATACAAGTCAGCATAGTTTGCTTAGAGGTACAAGGTGGACGCTCTGTGCTGTGCCTACATGATTTAGGGCTTCGTGCCAGTTTTAGAGAAAAGCATCGTCTTAGAAGTGTCAGATTTTTAAAGGCAGTTGGGCATTTAAGTGTGTGAATAAGCATGGGGCCTGACTGATTTTAATTAAGTGCAATTAAGTGCCCACACTCTTATGAGAAATCCCGCCAGACCCCTGATTTTTTTAAGCATTCTGGTCTTTACTATGGTACCTATCTGACTTAAGCTCTGAGATTTAATTTTCAAAGACGATTTAAGGTCTCACTACCTAGTTTTCAAAATGAGAATCATCTTTCCATGTTAATTAGGTGCTTTTGGAAATGTCATCTAATGTCTTTTAAACTGGAGGGCTAAAAATGGGAGTAGAACAGTCCATAATGATGCCATCTCTGCATACCAGGAATGAAAGCAAACGGCAGCATTTCTACCTAATTCATAATTTTGAATAAAACAAATCTCAAAGTTAAATATCCAGTCTGCAGAGAAAACAAACTCTAATCCCATTTCATAGCCATGCTGTTCAAAGCTAGTGTTAAATTTCAAGTCTTAGAGGATTTTTTTTTCCTTTGGAGAAATACGCTCAACACTTGTTTTCTGGAGCTTTTAATTAAAATTTGTCATGCTGTGATAAATGCCTTTAAAAATGTTACAGGCTCTAATCCACATCAGGGGAAGAGAGAAACAGACAGCTTTGCATTTCAGTGGATTATTGGATTAGGAAAGGACACCGATTCCAGTGAGAATTAGCTCTGTGATCTGCAGTGGCAGAAACTACTGTAATGTCTATGCAGTGGGGTTTGAGAACCTGCATCTATCCAGTAACCTTCACTCGGCGCAGCCCGGTGCGTGGTCCACGGATTGACAGTGAGTTAGACTTGTAGTGATAATGGCTCAGATTTTCTCTCCTTATTTATTTATATAATTGTAAATGGAAATTATAAGTTTAGGATGTCTGTAATTTAACTGTAATCTTTTTTTTTTTTTATAATGAAAACATTCCTGACCCATTACTGCTACCTTCTTTCAGTTTTTTCTTGTAATTGAAAACTTCTCAATCTTACATTTACTGTTGCAGACCAGATCATGTAGGGGACCAGGCTGAGTTTTTTCCTAGGACTACGTCAGAAAGAAAAAGTAAACAAATAATGTGATTTCATTGAGTGCAGGGTGGGAGAGGGGCTTGCCGAAAGCACATGAGGTTTACCTAATTCTGCTCTTGTTAACATTAAAGCACCTTCAGGGACAATATGGTGGGCACTAGAGAGAGTACACGAAGGAGTACAGAGGAGTTCCAACAGAAGGCAAAATGCATCTTTTTTGCTGTATTGGTCTGACTATTCTGATCTAAGGCTGTCATTGAAACCCCTGGACGTGCATGGCTGCGTACTTTGAACTCGCTTTTCACGTGCATGGTCCGTAGTTTTTATATTTCTTAAACTGAGGTGTAAGTCCTCGGCAGCATTGAAATTCAGCCCCAATATGCATGGTATTAATTGCTGTAGTTTTTCATTGTTGGTGTTATAAAGGTTTAATGATATGATAAACCTTGGAACATGTGTGTCTGGAATTCAGGAGAATATGGATGTGTAACATGGTTTTGTGAGTGTTTTGAGATCCTGGATGTGGTGGTTTAGTGTTAAAACCCACCTCTGCAGACTGCAAAATACCTTCTTTTTTTCTTTCTTTTAGTCCTCTGCAATTGAATCAGCAAAAATTACAGCTTTTAAACTGGCTCTGAAGAAAGAGTAGGAGCTGAGCTTTGGAAAGGGAGTCTGCAACTCTCTGGGTAAATGACATTCACTAAGTCTGTAAAGCAAGGTGTATAAATTTTCATGTTTTTTTAAAATGCATTAACTATTGTAAAGTCTGTAAATACCTTTTTAAAATAAATGTAGTTTTTATGAGTGAACCATTAAAAAAGGAGCATATAAAAGTCTTTCATCCATTGACTACTGAAGTGCGAGTGGGATTACATTCCAAGGGTAAGTTTATTCTTGATTTTTAACAAAGTTGTATCACCGTTTTCTCCAGAGCTCAGTGAGATCAGAGAGTGCCTTTGTGCAGGCATTGTCTGTGTGTGTGAAACAAAAACCGGCAGGACACAAAGCAGGACCCTGTGCTGCTGAGTCCTCGCCACTGGGCTCGAATGTGTTCTCTTTTACATACAAGCTAGTAATCTACACAACAGTAATCTTCTACTATTTAAATGCAACTTGGTAGTATTTATTCAGATAATACAGTCTAAGCAGAGGCCATTTGAAGAGGAATTGTTTTTAACACAGCTTTGAAATTTTATTCTGGGTCCATTGTTCCATTTGGCTTTGTGGGTTTAAATCTTCTTTCGTCTAGCTTCTCCTTCCATCAGACTTTCCTGTAAGCACACATCATATCCTTTTTTTTAAAGATAAGAAAAAACTTTGACGGTGGAATTTTAAAGCCTGATCAGATGCTAAAATATTCATATTGTGGTCTCCATTGGAAGGAGGATTAGAGTGACATAAATCTGACCCGACATGATCTCTCTGCCACCTGCCCAGGGATCGGACCATACAATATAATGTAACTGACACTTATAATGGCCCTTTTCATCCCAAAGTGCATGACCAACTTTACATCTGTCAGGGGGTCCACCACTGCAGCGGTTCCTGGAGCACAACCCAGCAGCTGTTGAACCCTACACTCTGACAGCAGTTTAGGACAAGAAGCACGAACTTGCACAAAGCATCAGTCTGTAGAACATCTCTGTGAGCTTAAGCAGTTGGCCAAGATACCAGAGAAGAGAAAGCTGTGCTTGCAGAAGTATTACAGGGTCATTGCGGAGCGGCACAGTTGCCCTGTGACCGTTCTCTGTGTACCTTAGCACTGCTCAAATGGAAACCTGTGTCACATCCTGCTGGATCTGGTCTCCTCCTTGAATATTTATTTATGTCGTTACCTCTGAGCTGAAAGCCTGAGGTGTTTTGGATAGATGGGATGTCTGAATAGGTTTGTTTTTTTTTTTTTTTCTCTTTTGTATCTTAGCTAGGTGTATTTTTGTTTGTGCTCACTACCAGCTTCTCCAGGAAATGACAAAGATAATTTGAAAACTTTTTCCATGGGGTGAACCATTTCCAGACACCTCCCCTTTCATTGCATAATATTCCTGTAGCAGCTCCAGGAATGTGTTACATTGGAAGAGCTGCATCTGGAAAAAGGTCGATTTGTTTTCAGTGTCATTAAGCAGCTAGAAGTAAGCAGGGGACATTGTTTGCACTTCTTATCCCCGTAGCATAGCCTGAACTATGTTCAACTAAGTGTTGATGCAGCGGGTTAGAAGTTTTTACATTTTACATTTTTTGGTAGTTTTACAGATTGCCAGCAGTTTCTGAGCAAACTTAAGTATCTGATTGGGGGAGATGCCTTCAGCTCTGCAAAGAAAGGCCAAGACTTCCTCAGTGAGCAAGAAGTATCAAGGACTCCTTTCAACTCTCCTGATAATTATTCCGGTATCTTTTCCTGCCTAATGTAGGTTCTAGCAATAAAAAAAAAAAAATGTCTAAACATATCAAGTTACTGTTGCCAGCTCTTCATTCTGTAAGTAGTGCTTGGAAGGCAGAGCCATGGACAAAGATTCCACTTGATGTTCAGTACAAATAGGATTAAAGGTGACTTACAAAAATAATTGGATTTGGGGTAGTTTCTGCATGAAAATCCAATGGAAGTCAGGCTCTGGCCTGCCTGCATTACTGAGTTCATGAGCCTTTGTTCAGGCCGGGTTCCTCAGTGAAATGCTGGAGTGCGTACTTGTAACTTTTGGTCTTGGCTTCAAAAATAAAGTAGAGATTGAGCATTTCAACTTCTAGGACAGCTCAGAGATACTTCCCAGAAAGTGGCGACCATCTGGCCTGATCAAGGTGTTGCTATATTAATTAAAGAGCACGTTTTTGCTCGAGAGTGTTCTTTCTATGGCAGTTAGTTTGTATGTGAAGTCTCTGCTGTCATTGCGTTAGAGCATCTAATGGAAAACACATTTCCCAGGCTAGGGACTTGGGGAGCAGCAGCTTCCATATGGCTTGATCCTTCAGCTGGCAAAGTGCACCTTTGAAGTTAAGCATCTGTGAATGCTGCATAGATTTGTATTAAGGTAGAATGTGTTTGACTTTATTTTGTTTTTAATTTAGTGAGTAAGGACACTGCTACAACGGGAGCATAAGAAAAACATAGTCCTGTCCTGGGACTGTAACTCCGAGGTACTTGAGAACAATGCAATTAATAAGGACAGAGCCAGTATTGCCACATGTGAACTAACCTTACATGCTGCCTTTCCATCACCTTTATTCTCTCCCCTCCGTGTACTTTCCCAGCCTGGACCTGTCCCCTAATTGTCCCATAGTGATAAAAAAACCCCACCACCATGTTACTTACCATGGCTTCCTTCAGATCGCTGAACCTGGAACGCTGATACGAGCCTGGGCATCCAGTCTTCTCCACTTCCCCTAGTTTTTCCATTTCATTTGCAATCTGAATTGGGAAGGGATATGGCCTTTATGAAGGGAGATTTTTCTCCTAAAGCAACTCTTGTTACAGATGAAGATGAATCTGTTCCACTGCACAATTTAAATTCTCCTCTTTCCCAGGTGCTGTGCTTGTGCTGCAGCAAACTTGAAATCAGGACGGTAGAACTGCTGTTACGAGGGACTACACGTGAAGTATTAGAAAGGATGGGAAAGCCATGGATGGACAGAACCTTTCACAGAATCACAGAATCGTAAGGGTTGGAAGGGACCTCAGGAGATCATCTAGTCCAACCCCCCTGCTAAAGCAGGCTCACCTAGAGCATGCTACACAGGACTTCATCCAGGCGGGCTTTGAATATCTCCAGAGAAGGAGACTCCACAACCTCCCTGGGCAGCCTGTTCCAGTGCTCTGCCACCCTCAGAGTGAAGAAGTTCTTCCTCATATTCATTTCACCTTTGCTTTGCCATTTAAGTGCTTGCCCTCTCATGGGTTACCACGTGCCAGCTGCCCATGCTGACGTTCTCGGGGAAGTGGATGAACGCTGGTGTAATACAGCCCAGACGAAAACTGGCTGCAATTTAGGGAGAAGATGAAATCGGGTTTAACCTTGAACTCAAACTTCTATCTCTCCTGTAGAGCAGGGCTGCCCAAGCTCTCTGTCTGCGACAGGCAGCGCAGTTCTTTATGCAAGGCTGTCAAATGTCATCTTACCCTAATGCCAATTACTTTCCAATTACTACTTTAAAGAAGCATGTGTATATGCGTACGAATGTATGGGGGGAAAGCAACAGAGGCACGTATACAGTCAAGCCGATGTCACCTCTTTTTTGCTCGCATCTCTTACAGACTGGGGTTCCTAGCTAAAGCAGCAGGGTTGTTTTACAGTCTAGAACATACCTCTTGAAAGGATTCCACCAGGTTTTCGGCATTCATTTTTCCTCCTGGCTTCAGGCCGTAAGACCAGTGTTGAGCCAAGCAGCTTTCCACAGACAGGACAAACAGGAGGACACTGACAAAGATCTTCCTGGACTTCTCCATCCTGTGGGAGAACAAAACATCTTTCTGATCATAATGACATTACAGCTCCATTTTTATCTTACAGAACTATGGAAAAGTTCCATTTCTGGATCTCCAGTTCTGATCTTCTGTGCCCCAGTGGCATTGTGCCTGTGTGTGAGCCCCAGCTGAATTTTGAGCCTCTCAAAGTGTGGATTAGCTCGTTATAGAGATTTAACATCTGAAAAACTTGGATGAAGATCTAAATTAGGATTTTTGAACACCCTTTCAGAGTTTCAGGAATGTCTGGACCTCAAAGGTTCCATGGAAGTCCCTGCTGATATTTGACAGATGTGTTCAGTTCTAATGTCCCTGCGCCTCAAAAAGTGCTCTTTGCAGTCTCCTCTAATGCAAGTTTCTTCTAACACAAGCATCCGTAAGAACTGAATAAGTAAAAAGGGAATCCAGCATGTTGTTCAAGCACATTACCTGCTTGCTGAGAGAGGTTTCAGGATAACTCCCAGCTCTTCTCCGTTTGAAAATGCCCTGCAAGTACACTTGTCATCTCACTTTTTATATACAACCACCCTGACAGCAAACCTTTCACAGCAGGTAACTTTGTCTGACTCTATCTCTCGGGCTGCAATTTTGTTCTTAAAATTGCTGTAATGCAGCAGAAGTAAAGCACATAATTGGAACACCCCGGTGTAGCTATTAAATTCAGCTGTTTTCTCTAAGAACCGTAAAAGTAACAGCTTTCCTTTTAAGAGGCGATAAATCTGACATTCAAAGCTAGCTGACTGCTGTGGCCCTGTGGAAAACACACAAGCTTTTCTTTCAGTGGCTTCTAATTTCTAAGGAAAAGTTCTTGGGTGAGTTGGAATTTGTTGAGAGGGGCTTACAAGAGTTGGAATGAATGAGGAATTCAGTTTAGTCTCTGTATATCAGACATGAAGGAAACAGCCCTTTGGTGCATAAACCAGAGCCTGTGATCGCACACGTGCACGGAGCAATTCGCGTGCTCCTTTGAAAGTCTTCTCCTTCATCTTTAAATTGAGGTGCCTTGACTTTCTTTGTCCAATAAAATGCAAACTAGTATTAAACTGATCAAGCGGACAAGTATATTTGATCGTAAATGTGCAGGGGAGGGGACCCTCTTTGTTGTCACGATGGGGTCTCTTGCATGAGTAGGATTCCCAGATATTTTGTACTTTATATATATATGTGTGTGTCTGTAAATGTATGCACTGACGTACTTTGAGAGTTCTTAGTTCTTGAGAACTTATGCACTGTGGTTATACAAAGGTGTTGATGCTATTTGCATACAGGAGTTAAATTCAGTAATTTTGACTGCAGAACTCTTAATATTTTTATGTTTTTTTTTATCCACCTGGCAGCTATTTTGTCTTGCTCTGCACAGGTTTATGTGCAATTGAACGTATCGTGTTTACTGTTCCTCAAACATCCTCTCTTCCTGCTCCCATGACCTCTTTGAGATTAATGGATTAAAAGTAATTTAATAAGTAAATAATTTAAGGAGGATTTAGCAACTCTAGCAAAGAGTAGTTCTTCCTGCTCTAATGCTCCTCCTACTCATGGCGAGAGTAGCCAACATTTAACTGCAGCTGATGAACGGATCAAGCTGTGAAAATAGTTCGTTTCAGTGGGAGAAACGTTACTTCAGCGTAGGCACATCACTTTAGAAGTGAGATTTTCCTGTACCGGTGTTTTAAGACTCCTTCCTTCCCTGATGAGCCTGGCAAAAAATAAGGTTATTTAACGATAAACAGAAGGGTTTGTTCATCCTGAGGGATAACATTTAAAGAGGGAAGGGGGCCTGCTTAGCCCAATAATTGCGCCTCATTAACCCACCATTTTAAGCTAGGTCTAATGCCAGCCTACCCTTAACAACTTTCAACAACCGTGTGTTCTCCACAGGTTTCTGTTAGAGCTACAGAGCTGACCTGCCAAAGCGCGTCAGAAGAGCACGGAGCTGCACTGCTTAGTGAGCCCTTCCATCTCTTCTCTTCAATTCTAGGCCACAGTTGTAAGCAGAATAGAGGAGCTGGCAGGTTAAAGAAGAGCTTACAGCTGGGTTTGGTTGCCCACAAATGCTTTTACGGCCCTGTGTAACGGAAACCAACCAACTACTCTGATTTTGGCAGAGGCAGAGTCTGCATGGAAGGCTGATCCGAGCCTGGGAGTGCTTCAGCCTGGGCTTGCCAGGCAGGTACCAGCTTTGGGCTCTCAAAAAAGATCAAAGTGTGAAGCTGGGCTTTTATCACGTGCCCTCTCTTTAGTTTTCAGACACTGGAGTAGGGTTGGTGTAGACTTTTCCGAAGAGCTCCCAGACCTTGAAGTGCGCTAGTTTTTCTGGTTTGGGGACAGTAATCCGAATGCCTGCCAATGCTGTTAAGCATCTACATGGAAGTCAAGGACGTGTCAGGAAAACCTGGGTTTGTGGGTTCCCATTCCAAGAATCAAGACCTCTCTTTTATCAGAAGTTTGGAAAGGTGAATCCTAACCTGTGGAGTCTCTTAGGCTTTTTAGACAGCATTCCCAACCCACAGAAGTGTCCTGGGGGTGAGAAACCAAAGAAAGAACTAGATCTTTTCCAGTTTTGTTCTCTGCAGAACAGGGTGCTCTGCAGCACTTGGGCAGATGAGGGTGGTGAAAGCCTGGCAGGGGTTGCCCAGAGAGGGGGTGGAGGCCCCATCCCTGGGAACATTCCAGGCCAGGTTGGCCGGGGCTGTGAGCAACCTGATGTGGTTCAAGGTGTCCCTGCTCCTGCAGGGGGGTTGGGCTGGGGGACCTCTGGGGGTCCCTTCCCACCCAAACCAGTCTATGATTCTATTTGTATTACCACTGTTGTGAGTTTATTGGACTGAGGTCATGAGCGCTTCATAGGCCAAAGTCAAGGCAGGGTTTTTTTTCTTCCAAAGTGCTTTAGCACTTCCTTATTAAGTAAGACCCAGTTTAGCTGCTTGTGCTGTGCGATGATCATCTCTAACATGGAAAGTGTGTTTTAAATAGTGCACATACCTATGTAAAATTGTGGCAATGACTTCTGACTCCAGCTATTTTATTAAGCAAATATGAAGGGTGGGGGCAAAGCAAAGCTGGAAAGTGTTGCTGATGAATGACAAGGCAAAAAAACCCCCATGAACCTTCTCAAAGTGAACGTGTCAGAAACACTGCAGCAATCCCCATGCCTCAAGGTAGGCTTGCTTGTCTCTCTCACAGGTAAGCTTTATGCTTGGAAGCAAAAACTCCTTTGCTTTCTGCCACAGTGCAAAGTGCCTGTGTGGAAGTACAGACCTCTCAAACTCGGTCTCAAGCGTGGGCAATTCCTCGTTTACAGATGCAGTCCATTTGACAAAGCACTGGCTACCTACAACTCCAGGCTGAAGTGATGGTCAGGGTCTCATGAAGGGCAAACCCAACTTTATCTGCAATATTTTTAAGTTTGTATAAAAGGAGCTATCAAAGTTTAAAATGGTGTTTTCTTCTAACTTGCTGCCCATCCCATCAAAGTCAGGTAAGATTGATTTTTTTTTTTTTTTTAATTAAGACAACCAAGACAGTTTTATTTCACACTTTTATTAATGCAATTTAAATTAGGCTGGAACCTGCAGTTTCTGAATAGGCCACGTTGGGCCATTCATACAGCTTTGTCATAGCAAAAGAGGTACCTTAAATTCATCTGTGAATGAATGATGCCACATGCTGTGATTATTCAAAACATAGTGCTTCAGTGATTATGAAAATAGATCTTTTTTCCATACAATATTTTACTTCTGCCAGCTACAAAATATGATAAAGAAAAATAATTCATTTATTTCTCTAGCCCTAGGAATCTTCTTCTACTGCAACATACACACCACTCTCAATGAAAGCGATGAGGTGGGAGAAAGGACTCCAAAATCACACTGAAATATTTCCCTTGAATCTATAGGTGTATTTCATCGAGGATACAGTGTTGTCCTAGAGCCAGATCAAGAGGCCTGGGAAGCAGGAGGAAATAAAATCCCCATTCTGAACCACATGGCTGTGGGATTTGGAGTCCCAGAAGTTCATGTCATATGCCTGAGTCAACTCAACTTGAAAATAAGGGAGAATCCTGCAATTCTCCCCAAACAAATCATATACTGGTCCTGAACTAAGCTTTCTAGACTGATGACAAAGCAGCATTTGCATAACAACTACTGAGGCAACAAGACTTGTGTTCAGAGGACTGGAACTCTGCACTGCAAGCAAAAGGCAGCCCACTGAAGTAAGCGTGGAACTCAAGCCACCGCTAACAGTATCACTTTCTGTGAGTTTTAGCACACATTGGTTCTTAACTTCCAGTAAGAGCTGTGTTTCCTTAGATTCAAGGTTAGTTTTAACTTTGGGGTGTTTTAAGTAAGCATCTGAGGTAAGAGTTCTTGATGCACCTTTTTTATTTTTTTGGTATAGTTTCTTCATGTGCTTTTTGATTGCTTATAAAATAAATGTGGTGTTAGATGAGAACTAGATTGATACTACAGTGGAAACAGCTTATTCGATGAAGTGCACCACCACCTGAAGAGATGCTGTGAGGCTTTCTGCACTGCAGAAGTCACATAGTTCCCTCTTTGCTCACGGGTAAAGCAGTTGTGGAAAGGGCACACTGCCCTGTGCAAGACGCTTTTACAGCCGCTTTAAGCAGGCCCAAAGGGGAATACTAAGATCTGGCTGGGGAAGGGATTATGCCCATGCTTTCAAGGATTCAGTGTATGAGAGTATTTGCATAGTACATTGAGGGGAAAGGGGTGCCATTTATTCATACTGGAGTAATGACGGAGCACGTGCTGTGGCCCCAGTGCTTACCTCTCTACTTTGGTGACAGTATTGTGTTCTCCTGTGTACATTTAATTCCCCACAAAGAATGAGAAAGCTACAGGTACTCCAGTTTGGAGTACTTAGGACATGTGAAAGCAAGAGAACTTTTCTTACCAGCTGTGATTGATTGTGAAATTTCATACTAATTTGGGAAGGATTTAAATAAGCCATCCGTTTTC